CACAATAGACTGTGAGCTCTTATGTCAGAGACCCAGCTTTTATTATTTTATTTCCCCCAAACCTAACGTATGGGTGGGCATGTAGTAGGTAAATGGATACACATGCTCTCTGGATCCCTTCTTTATAACCACCTTTCTACTTAAAATACAACTTCTGAGCATCTAATACTGGACATCTAGGCCAAGGAATTCTGAACTGTTGTTTCATGAGAGTTGAGCTTCTAAGACAATTTTATGATAGAGTCTTAAACTGGCAAAAGATAGAAGTTGTAGACCAAACTTCCAGATGAAACACTTCCAGTAACATAGAGCTGATCGCCTCCGGAGACAGTGCTTATAATGAGGTTGGAATTACATTAAATGTGAGTGGGCTCAAATAGGCTTTTGTGATAGACAGCTATTGTGGAGCTGCTATCTAGTCATCTTGTTTTTTAAAGCTTACCCTGAAAAAAATGCCTTCTCCATGTCTTGACATGAGTGGCTGAACTTGGCAAAGATAAAATGACCATATTTCACTGACTCTAAGATGCCACAGAGTATAAAATGCCCATTGTTTTATGGACCACTAAGAAAAAACAATGCTGACAATTAAACTGAAACAATGCCAGAAAACTATGGGACAACAGTACAATGTGTCCCAGTTTCAGAGGTGCCTCTTAGATTGGACCAACATGAAACATGGTCGTTTGTCTTTAAAATAATGAATACAGAATTCCAAAGCGGCCATGCAGTTGGGCAATCCTCCTGTGATTCTGATTCACTGTCAGGCTCGTTTTTCCACGATCCTGGATGACTAATGACATATATTTGATCTCTTCAAAGTGCTGATAGAACTTCTCCCCACCCCTCACATTATCAAGGTCACCTGACATTTTGAAGAGAAAATAGAAACCATCTGATGTAAACTCTATCCACTCTCACCTTCAAACCCACATACCCACCTGCATGCATTCCTCCTGTCCTCTTAGACCAGCCGTGGGCAAACTACGGCCCGTGGGCAGGATCCGGCCCATTTGAAATGAATAAAACTAAAAAAAAAAAAAAAAAAAAAAAAGACCGTACCCATTTATGTAATGATGTTTACTTTGAATTTATATTAGTTCACACAAACACTCCATCCATGTTTTTGTTCTGGCCCTCTGGTCCAGTTTAAGAACCCATTGTGGCCCTCGAGTCAAAAAGTTTGCCCACCCCTGTCTTAGAGGAACTGTCTGTCTTCCTGTCAAAACTTGTTCCTTCTCAGTAGCTGTTCCCTTCTCCTCACACTTCCCATGGGCAGCATTCCCTAAGACTTCTTATTCCCTGCCTCATCAATCTTTCCCTGTACGGGCATCATGCATTCAAATATGTTCAAATAGCTTCCTCTTCAAACAAAACAAAACGAATACCTTAGTTCCTACTGACTCTGCCCCAAGTCTTACTCCTTGCTAACCTTCTCCTGAGAAATGTCCACTTGGGCTGTCTCCACTTTCTAACCTTGTAGCTCTGTCTCAGTCTGGTTTTCCCTGTCATACCGTTGCAACCAGGTGTGTAGAGGTCACCAATGATCGCCATTTTTAAAAGTCTGTATGTTAACTCTGTTCTCTTCTTGCTTGGTCTCTTGGCAGCACTCAACTTAGTTGGCCACTTCTCCCTTTTTTGAAACAGCTTTCTCTTTTTGATTATTTTTATTTTCTTAAAGTTGTGGTAAGTCACTTTCACTGTCTTAACCGTTTTTAGCATTCAGCAGTGTTAAATATATTCACACGTTGGCACATAAGAACTTTACAATTTTTCTTCTTCATTCAACAATGATCCTCCATTAAACCTCCCCCTAACTCCTTCTAACAACCATTTCACTTTCTGTTTCCATGAGTTAAATTTCTTTAGAAAACTCATATAATTGGATTCATATGTCTTTTTGTGACTGACTTATTTCACTCGGCAAAATTTCCTTATGCTTTACCCATGTTGTGGCATGTGGTGAAATGTTCTTCCTTTTCAAGGCTGAATAATATTCCACTGGGTGTATGTATCACATATGCCCATTCATTTGTCAGTGGACAATAGGGTGTCTTTGTGAACGCATGTGTTTCTCACATTCAGATTTCCTCTATGGTAGCTCCTTCACTAGACCTTGGAGTGTGGAGTTTCCCAAGCCCCCTCCTCATCTCTCCACTTCACACTCCTCTCCTCGGTTTCCTCCTCTGTCTTTCCCTAGAGCAGCTCACCTACGTCCAAGGCTTAGATCTCCAGGCCGCATTTTTCTTTTCAGCTCCACATTCACATGTCAGCAAGTCCTAGGATTTCTTCCCCAAATGTATCTCAAACCAGCCCATTTATTTCTACTCCCATCCTATCTGGGTCGTCATCTTCTCTTGCCTGCACTAACACAAACACTTTCTTATCGTTTCCCTGTATTTCCGCTTGTCCCCTTTTCCAATCTGTTTTTCAGAAAGCTCAAATATATATTTAATCATATAATTCCCCAGAATAAAACCTATTGTCTTTGCACTTAGAATAAGGTCTGTGTGCCTCATCTGGCCTAGAAGGCCCAGCTGGCTGGGGACCTGCCTGCCTCTCCAGCCTCGCCTTGGGCCTCTCATCCTCTGTCCACTTAGATGCAGATGTAAGTGCCTCCTTTCAGCTCCAGAAACATACTAAGCTCTTTCCCACCGCTGGGCCTTGATTTACCCTCTTTCTTCTATCTAGGAAATCTTGACATTTAATCCAATATTCAAAATGTAAGGGCATTTTGATAGGATACAATGGAATCATTTCTGACAAAATAAAGTAACATTTTTGTTTCATACATAAGAGCAACACTTCACTTTTGACACATCAACTGCCGAGTCGTAAGAAGAATCTATTGATCAAGCAAAGCCAAGTATATTAGAGCTACACCTTGACAGACAGCAAGTTTCAGAGGATGGAGGTCTTTTTTAAGGGACTGGTCCTTTCTGCTTATTTTTTGTGATGTTTAATATTCACTGATCTCTACAATTATATTTCACTTCCAGAGGCACCTCCCACTACACAGATTCAGTGTGGATGCTGCTTTTCTATCTTGGTTGCAGGCAAAAGCCTCCTCCTGCTCTGCTGCCTTCACAGGAGTTGGTGGGTAGACATGCTCAGAGTGTGTGTGCCTTGGAGGGGATGAGTGTAACAGAAGAAAGAAAATGGAAAAGGAGGTACAGATCACACTGGGATGCGCTTTAAACATCAGGCATCAAAGTGCTATGTAGCAGCTCGTGAATATAATTGGTCCTAAGGTGGGTCAAGAAGACCAGTGAGGTAGGAGTTCAATGTTTCATGATAAAGAATGAATACTACTGGGAGAAAAAGTCAAGGTGAGATAGAAAAGCTTAATCAGAGACAATGCATCAGGGTCAGAAAGAGTTTTGAGTAGAGCAGGGAATTAGCTTATTAAAGTGGCCTTTTATCTCACCTTCTCCCTGTCTAACCATGACTTTGTATTGATGTCATTTAGAGCTAGAGTTACCAAAGAATTTTTCATTCAGGGTAAACCAGATGTTCAGAGTAACCTGGGATGTAGGGTCTGTGTACTCCAGTCCATGCATACTGATACAAGCCTTGTTAAGAGGTGTTTTTTTTTTTTTTTTGGGGGGGGGGTTAAATTGGTACAACTACTGTAGACGACCTTGGCCACATGCATCAAAAGCATTAAGTATGTTCATACCGTTAACTCAGCCACTTCTAGGTATTTATCTTAAGGGAATGAGATGTATCCAAATATTCACAAAAAAGAATGTTTATTGCAGCGTTGTCTATAATAAGTAAAAAACTGAAATCCATATAAATGTCCAGCCATCAATCAAACAATAATGAAATTGGTTAAATACAGTATAACCATGCAATAGAATATCATACAGCATGTAAATTCATGTTTTCAGGATTATTTAACTTTGTGTGTGTAGGGGGGAGGGGCAATAAAATGTCAAGTCATGAAATAGCTAATATATACGCACAACATAGACAAAAGTTTAAAAAGCAAGTGAAAATGTCTGTAGTAGTAATCTCTTCTCTGGTTCCTGGGCTTGTTGGAAAATTTTACAACCTGATATTTTCTAAGTTTTCACAATGAAAAAGTACAAAACAGAACAAAAACCTTCTTCATCAGTCAGGATGCAGTTCAGAAAAGAGGGGCAGCTCTTTTCATTCCACATTCGAAGGGTTTTTAATCCAGGGAAGTAGAGGCTTACACGTTTGCTGGGAGGGCTGGGGAGCAACAGTAGGAAGGTGCCACCAAAAACTGCAGCCTGCAACTCCACCCAAGGGGCTGCCAAGAGCTCACTAGGAACCACAGAGCAGACAGGAAGCCTTGCCAGCTCTCAGGACTCCGCAGGGAGGAAAGAGGCAGGAGGAAAACCATGTGCTTAGGAAGACACAGCTGCACCTGAGGGAGACAAAGGACCACGGTGAAGCCAGTGTTTCTCTAGAGGCCGCCTCAGAGCAGCAGCCCCACTGCTCAGGTGTGGGGGAGACCCCCCGGGTCCCTGGCCGGCCCTGCCACCTCTCTGTCTGCAGTTTGCCAACCCTTTACTCACAACTGCAGTGGTGGTAATGCCATGTAGTCAACACAATTTCAAAAGTGGTAATACTATGAGAGTCTCTACTGGCCTAGAACTTCCCATGTGGGGCATCAGAGTCTTGGGGTTCTCCTGGGGGGGCTACTACAGATCTCCAGAAATGCTGTGTGCAGCCAGTCCAGGCTGCATAGGAGACAAGAGGTAAAGGGTCTTTGTTCTGTTCTGTTCTCTTTTCTTTTCACTTCTGGGGGGATTATGAAGATTACAAAGGATTCTTAAAAGAAAGAAGGAGGGGAGAGTCAGAGTCAGAGAAGGAAGTGGCTGCACAAAAAGGTGGAGGGACGCAATGTGACGAGGACTCAACCCACTATTGCTGCTTTGAGGACAGAGAAAGGGAGCCTCTAGAAACCGGAAAACGCAAGACACAAATTCTTTCCTGGCACTTCCAGAACGGAACTCACCATTGCCAGTTCCTGGACTTAGCTCAGTGAGACCCAGGTCGGATTCTGATGTCCAGCAGGTAAGATAAGACTTTTCTGATGTTTCATGACACATGTTGTGGTGATCACAGCAGCAAAAGCAAACAAATGCAGAGCCCTTCTGGCTCTGGGACAGGAGGGGCCTGAACGAGAGAGCAAGAGCAAGGTCAGGGCAAGAGATGAGAGGCAAGTATCTTCTCAGGTGAATACTCAACTGGGGAGGAAAAGTGCGGAGGGAAACAAGGGGCTCACAGATACACAGCGATGCTTGAGGCGAGCCAAGAACCAGGGGCGAATGCTCCACTTCCCAGGACATGCTGTGCAGAGAAATGGAGCATTTCTGGAATGAACTCAAGAGGAGCCAGCATGTTGCTTACGCAAAGGAAAGAATGAAATGAAATTGGTGATTGATAAAGATCTCTCTTCTCCTGGCTGGGTATAACCTGGCCCACACAACTCTGGATGCCTTAGTTAGGGGAAACTTCAGGAGCTGTTGGAAGAATTGGGGTGGGGTGAGGGAGCACTGCATTCAGAGACCCTTTAGGAGAGGTTTTGGGGAACCAAGTGCATTCTGAGTGATACCATAAACAACAATCAGGACCAGTGACACCTCAGTGGACACAGGACAGGAGGCCAGAGCTGATCAGTGAGGATACTGCCCTGGGGGCCCAAGAAGGCTTCAGGGGCACGTACAGACCCGAGGTCTCACCTTTTTCTGCTGCCAAAAGGGTGCCTCCTCTTCTCTACCGCAGCCGCACACTAAGAACAAAGGCCCCCAGGTGGGGAGAAACAGCCTTAAAAGAACTTGGTTTTAATGGTTACTTAATATATACAACAATTTATACCAGGTGATATTATTGCCTTTGATGACTAATTTTGTTTTTTTTTTCCTGCTATCAGTGGGAAGAAGGGATTTAAATCAAGATAAAATCAATAGGCATAAAACATTTTGCACTACACATACATTAACATATGCAATGGATTTAAGTGACTATACATTATTTAATTTCATTCTCATTTCCTTCTCTCTCCCCATGGGGCAGGTAATAATCTTCATGAGATTAAGAAAATGGTCCCTTTTATATCTGAATACTTTTCTGTGTTCCCTGTTGTTTGTCTCCTTCACTGGGGCCTTTATCACTATTAGGAATCATAATTATTAGTTTTGTCACATGCTCAAAATGACTGTGAGCCCTGATCTTTACCAACTGCTACCCATGGAAGGACTTACTTCTCCCCAGGGTGCCCGCAGTTGGCTGGCTGTGATGTTGTTGGTTAGTGGAAAGCTGTGTGATGCTGTCTCACTCTGTCATCCCACATCACCTGTCCCATGTGTGAAGTCATTCAGATGACCCTAACCTTTCTGGGGTAGTACTGTTCTCTGCTTCTGTGACCCTGTAGTCATGTCATCCGCATGAGATGGACATGCTCACCCATTTAGGAGAGAAAAGTCATTGTCTGCTTAAGATATCAGCTGAAAATGGATTTGCTTTTTCAGGCATAGTCATGGCCCTGTGGACTCCCCACCAGCCTCCCACTCGGGGCTGTCATGTCAGAGGTCAGCTCTGTGTGAATCATACTAGGCCCTTGGGGGAAAGACAGAAGTGGCAAAATGAGACATGTTCCACTACAATCTCTTTAAGAATTCCAAAAATAATGACCTTGTCACACAAATGACCATGGAGGGACTTTGTTCTCTTTGGCCTGGAGGATCTAGGAACATATTGCGGGACAAAACAGAAGGAGGAGCAGCTCCCAGAGCCAAGGGCAGTCAATGGCAAGTCACATGGGTGGGGAAGGGGGAGGACCCAGCCACCTGGGTCAAAGGAGCCTTCATGGCACCTACCTCCAACAGGAATGACAAACAAGGGCAAATTGGTTTGGTGGCTGCTGTTGCGACATGATTGCTTTCCCAGGGAAAACACAAGCATAAAGCTCTCGGGGCTTCTTTCTCACTCTTCTCTGAGTATATAATAAGAGGGAAAGGCTTTAAACTGTAGCACTGCTTTTTGGGGGGCCTCTTATAGGTAAGGTCACAAGATTTGAGTGACTTGCAAGTTCACACAGCTACTAATTTTTAGAGAGAAGTTTTCAGAGCCAAATCAGTCCGATTCCAAGGCCTCAGGTCTTCCACTCGATCACATGGAAGTTAGGGGGCTAGGAGCGTGCAGTGGTTATGTCTTTTTTCTGGGTGAATTTCATGAATAGGAGCTCTCTGTGATTTTATTTTCAGCTTCTTGTGTTTGTGGTTTACCCGCCACAGAAAGGAAGCTGAGCTGTATTTGACTGCCATCTAGTGGTCATTTTCTTTATGGAAGCCAAGTAGGGTTTTAGTTTATCACATCTTTGCTGAAAGTCTAGGAAAATACTTTGTTTGCAAATAGATGTGCACTAAGAAACAAAGAGTATTCCCTAAAATCTTCACTTATGTATAACTATGTCACACAGAGAAATCTAAACAGGCCATTATTTAAATAATTCCAAAAATAATTATTTTGTAAATTATTTAGTCTAACTTCCTTACCAATGAAAAAAAATTGATAGAGATATTATAAAGTATTACAAAGAATCAAAGAACTAAGACCAGAAAAGTACCCCAATTCAGATTTCTTCTTTCCTATAGATTATCTGTGTAGGAATAGCGTATGATCAAAGCACAGGCTTCAGAAGTCCTTTGTCTGGGTTTAGCTCTATCCCTTACTAGCTTAGTGGCCTTGGCCAATTGCTTACCTTTCTGAGCCTGTTTTCTCATGGAGGAAGTGCTCAGAGTGCAGCAAGCGCTGTCTGATGCTGAAAATGAAATAATAAAATGAAGTGGCTTAAACCAGGGTAACAATCTTACTGATGACAACCTGAAACTTAAAGAACGAGTTCAAGATTTACAAGATGAAAATGTATTATTAAGTTGAGAAAAGGGAGAACTTCAACTATCTCTTTTAAAATTGAAGGAAGTAGAAGTACAACAGCAAGAGACATGAATTCAGATCAGAATTAAGTCATTTAAGATGTGACTTGGAGGCCAAGAACCACAAGCTTAATCAGATAGTAACTGAGATAGTAGAGTTGACCCAACAGAAACAAGAACCTACAACTCACCCCGTTTTGATAAAAGGTCAGCTAACAGCACAGCACAAGGCAGGAGACAGCATCATCACTGAACTAAAACTAGCTCTGATGATGAAAAAAAGACAGTTCATCAACTTTAAGATGATAAAATATAAAACACTAAAGAGTCAGGCATGCAGAAATAAAAGTGAATTCAAAGTGAATTGGCTATTAATGATTTGTATTTAACCAAGCAGAAGCTTGAGGATAAAACACAAAATTTAGTAGATCAGCTAAACCTGTCACCAAAATATAATTTAAATATCCAAAAAGAGAACTTTGAGCTAAAGGAACATATTAAACAAAATGAAAAGAAACTTTCTAGAGTCAAAAATTTGGTGAAGAAAGTAGCACAAATTCAGCTCAGCATAGGGCATCTTTCAATGCTTAAAATGCTCTTTTATTTAATTTTAAAAGTCCCATTTAACTAGTAGCTAAAAAGTATTCAACACCATCCACTATAACCATTACTTTTATATTGTGCTCTCCTTGCTCTGGGATTGGGTGCAAATACAAAGCTGAATAAAGGAAGATATCCATTATCCTAAAAAGAGCAAAGCAAAACTTTCTTTTTGTATATATTAAGTCTTTATTGTTGAAAGTATTGCATATATCCCCTAAAAGCAAAACTTCCAAGAAAAAAGACTGTACTGCATTTGTAAAAAATCAGAAATTGGAGATTGAAATTTATAGATTATAAAACAATTACCCTGGAAAACTCTTATAGATTTGTTTAATTCAACTGTTTAATAAAATAAAATCTGATATGTTTCATCGTAGCACACTCTCTCAAAAAGGAGTACATAAACTAATCAGTTTTTGTTTGACACATTAACAAATGGGTTTCATCTGAAAAATTAGAATAATTTGTCAGGTCAATATATTAAGTTTTGTCAGCAGATTTAAACTTAGTCAATTTTCTTAACTCAAAATTATATAGAACTAAAGTATACATATTATTTTTAAGACCCCTACTTTATACAGTTTATATTTAAAAAGTAATGACAGATATTAATGCATGTAAACACAATTTTTATATATATCTAAATTTTTTTATGTAGCACATATATTTGTTTCTGGGGTAATAAAATACATGGTTTAGCTAAGACCCAATTTTACCATTTTAGAACTTACATATATGAAAACAGCAAACTGAATAATGGTGTTCTTACAAACCTGGACCCTTAGCGAGGGTGGGGGTTGGGAGGGGGAGGTGGGGGAGGTGGTTTCTTTGGTTTTTAGTAAAATAATAATGGTGAAAACAGTTCAACACCTATATTAAATATGGTTAAAATAAACTGATCATTAAAAATCAAAATTATATTAACATCTCTCCTCAGCCCCTACCTGCTAAAATTATAAAATAAAATCCTAACAACTACACAAAAGGTCAAAATTTATTCTATTTGAACAAATTTATTCTATCTGAAAAAATACCTCCTTGATCAAAATTGAAATATCTCAAAAATTATCAGAGTTATATAAATCTACATATCTTAATGATGAACAAAAACATGCTGTCTTACATCCCATAGTTTAAGATTCATTTGCATCATTTCACTGTGTTTAACAGTTGAGTTGGGTGGGGGGTGGGGAGGGGAAGCAGGAAAAAAGAAAGATACTTTTTGTTTTTTAAAACGAGCAGCCAGTAAATATATGTAGCTTTCATTCTTGACATTTCAGGACTCTCAAAGAAAAGATTAAAGGTGAACATAGGTGTTTCCTCAATTTGCTCAAATTCTCTTAGATTTATATAAGCATTCCCTTGTTTTTAAGACCTTATTTAATGTGTTAAAAGCTTGAGACATTTCTAAGTATGTGCATTTAGATTTTCTACATTAAAAATAATTGATAATCAATATTGTATAAACACCTAATAAAAGACAAAAAGAATGTGTTCAATCAAAAACAGCATAAAAATAAAGCACACTGGAGGCTGAATCAATAGTGAATCAAATCCAGCTAAGGAAGGGCCTCAGACAGTGTGAGCCTCCACCGAGTAACCTCTGGTAACTGACTTAACTAAATGCGAGACTGAGAAGATTAGAGAGTTCGGCATTGCCTAAATCAAACGTGGCAGACTGCCTTGCTGTGCGTTTGCTCTCTAACTCTCATTCCTTCTATATATTTAAAAAAATAAATCAGTTCCATGCCTCACTTTATAAACCATAAGTAGTGAAATAGGTATATCAAATCCAATAAGAAGGCAAAAACCTCTTCTTACGCTCCCAAAATTGCACTGATAGAATAACGGTAAGATATTTTCAGCAAAATTAAATAAAATATAACTTATTCCAAGCAAGTCTAATTTGTCTAGCTAGTATGACCAGCTTTTTTTCCTTTTAATTGTAATAAAGTAATGAATTAAAGGTCACTTTCCAATGTAAACCAGGGAAAAAACACAGAACTGAAATAGTGTTTTGTCTTACTATAATTCAAGTAAATTACCTGAAGATACGAATCTAAAATTATTCAATAACAATGTAAAACCCTTTGTTTTTGTTTGTTTTTTAAAATACATTTTTATTGATTTCAGAGAGGAAAGGGAGAGGGACATAGAAACATCAATGATGAGAGAGAATCATCTGCCTCCCACACACCCCCTACTGGCCTGCAGCTTGGGCATGTGCCCTGACTAAGAATGGGACCGTGACCTTCTGGTTACTATGTTGATGCTCAACCACTGAGCATACCAGTCGGGCTAAAAACCCTGTTTTAAAATAAATATTGGCAAAGGGTCCTTTAAACCTTATCATCATTGAAAAATTAAAGCTTACTAGAAAAGTCCTTATTCAGTTCATTTATCTGAACAGCAAAATTATCTGGAAATACTCTTTCTTTACCATTAACTTCACCCTTCTGCCATCCAGCTTCTCCAGTCTCCTAAAATGCAACATGAAGAATGATGAAAATGTTATTTTTATATAAAAAATACAAAATAGGAAACAACTGGATTCCATTATTTTTACAAGAAAAAAAATATTTTTTAAAGATCTAAACAGATAATTATGTCCCCCTAATAAAAAAAATATTCCTTATAGCCCTGGCTGGGTAGCTCAGTTGATTAGAGCATCATCCCGATATACCAAGGTTGTAGGTTGGATCTCTGGTCAGGGCACATACAAGAAGCAACCAATTATGCATAAATAAGTGGAACAACAAATCTCTCTATCTTCCTTTCTCTCTCTCTAAAATCAATAAGTAAAAAATTTTGAAAAGAAAATATTCCTCCAGCAGTAGTTATAAAATTTGGTTTAATATCTTTGACTTAAAATTTTTCTTTACAAAGAAAAAAGTTATCAGAAGGAATTTTTTAAAAATGAATAAAAACAAAAGCTCTCCTTCTAACATGGCTTGCTTGAATTCCATAATCAAGGATCTAGTTGGTGGACTCTCCCACACTGGAGGCAGAGGATTGGGAACTATTTCCTCCAGTGGCAGGGTTTTAGGTATTACAGGCTCTACTTTAGGAGGAGGGTCGTGGTAAGTCCCCCTGGCATTCTGTAGGCTTTTGATCCTCAATATGAAGTGGGTATAGTGCAGCTCGAACAAGAGCCCACATAGTTAATGATGACAAGGGCACTCATTTTCCCTGGACCTGATTTCTCTTTAAATTTCTGCCCACTTTTCCCAGAGATTAAGGTCTAGCATTCCAGCATCAGGAAACCAAGGGTTATAAATTATAACAGTCTGTAATAGGCTTTTTAGTAGTTCCTCTGTAACAAAGGCATCACCTGCTTTTAATAACTGCTTAACACTGCGATATATTGTTGTTCTGTGGACAATTGTCCCATTGTGAAACCTTAGCTGAGAAACAATCCTCTTGAACTTGAAATCCCCAGTGGACTCCAATGACTTACTGAACGGTTACTCTTTGTTTTTGAGGTTTCCAATGCATCTCGTTGCGTTCCTCAGACAAGCAGACCCTGAACAATAGATGAATGATTACTCTGACACACATTTCTGTGAAAGAGAGGGTTAAGGGATTGCCTGGCTAGAGAAACCAAACAGTCCCGTTCACCTGCCTCCTCAGGCTTTTATTGTAGCAACAGCTTGAACTAAAATTACCTATTAGATACTATCAGCAAGGTAAGTATCTTTGAGAAGACACACGTGTTTGCAGTGTCCTTTAAGCAAGGATGTCTAAAGACTAAACATAAAGATTCCAGTAAACATCCAGGGGCTCAGTTTGGAAAAGTCAAGGCAGTGTCTGCTCCGTTTGGCAAGGTCCCCTTAGAGGCCTCTGACCTTTCAGAAATTCCTCCTTATAGATTTTCCAACCAAGTCCCATGCTTCCCCACACTCAGGCCCAGGCCAAGCCTCCTCCTCCCCAGGTGCCTCCACCTGACAGCCTCCCCCCTAGCGCCCCCCCCCCCCCCGCACTCCCCCCCCCCACAGGCATTGCTTAGCAACAGCTCATTGCGATCTGATCCTTAGCTCCGCCCACATAGTGATTCCTGGACAGTTGGCCAGGTTGTCTGGTGGGGCTGGATGCTTTGGGCAGAGTGACCAGGTCAGTTCTATGACCCCCAGCGATGGCCATTCCCTGGGGCAAGTGGGCGGCTGTGTGGCTTCCTTCACAGACACATCTCTAACTTCACAGAAGAGGTGCTGATGTAAAAATTTGAAAAATAAGTAGAGACACTTGACTCTAAGAGGAACGAGGTGGAAGTTACTTGGGCAATTTTAAGAGCAGAGAATAAAAGACTTGAAACTCTTTGTAGTGATCTAGAACAGAAATATGAATATCAGAGCTTCAGATGAAGCAGCATAATGCTACTTATTGACATAAACTACAACAAAAAGATGTAGAAATCAAACTCTAAAAACAAACAAACAAACAAACAAAAAAACGGACAGATAGTGCTGCAGAATGAGATGCAGAATCCCCCAGTCAGCCACTCGATCAGGAAATTCTGGAGCTGGACTTGTACCATCAACACCAACATCACCTTCAGTGGTGATGACATCAACCCACATGTTGCTGCTGCTTACAGCACAAAGACTTAGACATCACACTTCTGCAAGGAAGACAGGTAGCGCTAAAGAATAAGTTGAAGAAGCTTCAGTCAGGAAATTCTGGAGAAGGCTTTGAACCATCAACAACTGCCAGGGTCTTTCTGAGCATCTAGAAAGGTTCAGGAATCTGGAGAAGGGGCTGCGTGTAAATTAATAAAGAGACTAGGCATGAAATATAAATTTGGAAGACATTTTGGGGATCCAGAGGAGAACTAGCTTCAGTAACCAAGTTCTCTCTATCTCCGGACCCAGGGCTTTTTATTCCCACATTTTGGCCTATAGCAAAGCAGATATACATATCAAAAGGTAAAGTTTGGTATACAGTAGGCATTGTCAGGTTGGAGGAACTGCCTTCAGCTGTTCAGCTGTTTGGCCAGCAGCAGGTAATAACATGTAGATTTTCAGGTTGGGGGAAATGCTTTCAGCTATTCCAGCAGCAGGCAATAATATTTATCTTCAGCCTTGCTGAAGCCTCAAGGTTCCATCAACCTTTTGATGAAACTTCTTGCATTTATGACCTGGAATTAGCCTCCAAGAAACCACTGCATCACCATCCCTGGTGATGAGAAAAGGAATTCTAGGGATAAAATAGGCAGCATTAGGGAGTCTTAGGAATAAAGAAGGTCCATGGGGAGGAATACATAGGTGAGGGCTTGGAGCTGCCAGAAGGCGTACATCCACAGAGAATAGAAAAGGTGCCACAGGATAAGGGGAGAGGAAGACATACATTCACAGAGAAGAGAAAAGGTGCCACAGGATAAGGGGAGAGGAAGACATACGTTCACAGAGAAGAGAAAGGTGCCACAGGATAAGGGGAGAGGAAGACATACATTCACAGAGAAGAGAAGAGGTGCCACAGGATAAGGGGTGAGGAAGACATACGTTCACAGAGAAGAGAAAGGTGCCACAGGATAAGGGGAGAAGAAGACATTCACAGAGGATAAAGAAAAGTCACAGAGTATGGGGGAAAAGGAAACACACTTTCACAGAGGAGAGAGAAACGTGGACAGATGCTGGAAAGTGGGAAACCTGTGTTTACATGAGGTAGAGGAACGTTGCAAGGGAAGGGGGAGAGGAAAGGGGGCCGGCACCACGTGGGTTTTGGACTTTGAAGCTGATATTCTACAAAAGACTGACCAATTGGAAAAGCCCGGGGTCATGAGGTGGGGAAGGGGTCCAGTTAGAAGGGAGCATGAACGGACAAAGAACAGCAGCCTTTATAAACCTTAGAAAAAAGGAACTTGGTGAGTTACTCCCTTGGAAACTCCTCCCTACCTGGGAGTCTGTATTTGCTTCCAATAAATCTCCACCCTTTTAACTAACAAGTCCTTTCAGTCCTCGGATTTTATTCTTCAAACTTCACGAGACAAGAACCCGCAAGAGGGGAGATCCGCTCCCCGCACCCCACGCTTTAATGACATCAACCCTCACGCTTCTGCTGTTTTCAATAGAAAGACTTAGGCATCACACTTCTGAAAAAAAGAACAAACCGTGCTAAAGAATACGCTGCAGACTTCAGTCAGCACTTGGTCAGGAAATTCTGGAGCTGGCCTTGTACAAAGTACATCCACGGAAGGAGCGTCGACAGTGCAACAAGCACTTGCCTGCTGCGGAAAATAAAATACTGAGATGGAGCGGCTTAAACCAGGATAACAATCTCACTGACAACAACCAGCATTTGGAGAAGGAACCAGCACTAACTCAGCTCAGTGTAGGGCAGCTCTGCAATGCCAACATCGGTCTTTCAGGTCAGTCTGAGCTTATTTCACCACAGCCCTCCACCGGGTCAATGACCGCAGAATGCAGTCTCTCTGAAGGCAATGAAATCTGATGAATTCAGTGAGCCTTCTAAATTGCTCCCCGAAGGGCTTCAAGGGCTGAGAAAATCAATGCAGGAAAAGGGAGCAACAATTAGAATCCTCGAGAAAGAGAGAAAGATTACCTGAGATTGTCTGATTCAATTGCTGCCACCTCTGAACTAAAAGACCGTGAACAAATTGATTCAGAAATTAAGCAGCTAAAGGAGAAACCAGATGTTTGACAAAACCTATTAAGAAAAAAAAAAGAGAGCTCTTATTCAAAGCAAAATGTGATTAATTCTTTTCTTTCAGTGACAATTTCACTAATAAAGTGAGCGAAAATGAACTTTTGAGGCAGGCGGCAACTTAATTGGAGGAGAGACTACTGAATTTCAAAATCGACATGTGGAAACTAAAGCAAAAAAAATGAAAAACTTGGAGAAACATCAAGAGAAAAGGAAACAGGAAATCAAGCACTATAAGAGGCAAATAGGCAACTTTCTATGATGAGAAAGGAGAAAGAATTGGAATATGTTGCAATGAGGAGCAAGGCTCTTGCTGTAGATCAACTATTAAAAAAAAAAAAAAAGCAAGATTGGGGCAATTAAACATAGAGTCCTGCCCTGTAACAGTTCTGTAGAGGATCCTATGCATCAGCATATATTTAGACACCCAGGTAATTCTAATATGACTCCAGGACTGAGAACACCTGTACAAGCTATCTTTCTAGCTTAGTTTCTCAAAAGACCTCCTTGATGCCTATAGCCATTTCCTGAATAGACTATGCTTTCTTTCATTCTTTTCATATAGAAAAGTCTAGTGAATGCATTCTGCTAATTTTCTAAGTCTCTTCATAATGCACCTCATTATTTATGCATACTAACTATTCATCTGGCAATTGTCAAAATATACTTTTGAAAAATGAAGAACAAATGACTTCCTCATAGCTACCAGAAGCCAGCTGCCTGATGCATACATACTAATTGATTTTATGTTATATTTAGTTAAGTCTGTTTCAGGTATGGGTATAAATGAAGGATATTATTTACTACTTCTTAAGAGGTCAAGATTATGCTTAGGTTCAAACTGGAGTGATATATTACAAATATCAAAATGTTCTTTGTAGAACATTGGAAATAAGTAATGTTTTCTTTTTGGAAGGCGCATTAAATATAAAATTCAGTAGATTCATGCCATGACTCTCACCTCAGAGTCAATGTATTACAGATTGTCACAGATGAAAATGCATTTGAGTTTGGCATCTCTAATAAGAAATGCTCTAAGTGAGCCAAACACACGGATCTTCATTTTATGTTTTTAATGGAATTAAGTGTCCCATTGATTAATTTCTAAACCATAATAAATCCAGTCAATCGTTTTCCCCTCACCAGCAGATCTTGCTTTAGAAAACAAACACACAAATATACAACTTTCAGCAACACAGAAGTTTCATGAAACCTGCATGGAGGCCTAATCCATATTGGAGTTCAAGTATATGTTCAAGGAGTCAGCTACTCTAATCATAAAGACAACCACCGTTATATCTTTGCAGTGCAAAATTACCTGCGCTTGTCATTCACCTGTGAGAGAAAAACACTGTAGATTCAACTGCCTCTGCGGAGGGCACTCAGCTAGCTCTTGGCACCCATCGCACCCTTCGAAGGTTTCGGACAGCAATCATCTCGAAACTTATCACCCTAAAGCATGAGGACAACCAACAGGGACTCCTGAGGCTGGTGGCTCATAAACTGACAGGCCAGATGGCATCTGAGACCTCTCAGGAGCAGCCCTTTCATGCTCTGGCAAAACAGAACCTCTTAGATACAAAAATAACAGTTATCAAAAGCAAACCAAGGAGGAGTTAAGCATAAACTATATCACTTCCTCTCTGTACGGAAATGCCTCACTCCCCAGGAGGTAAATGGTGACCCCATCCATCTATTGCGGGCTGTGCTAAAGAAAGAAAGCAGCCATCACCATAGAGACCTCCAGTCCAGCCAGTGGTCTCCTCCGGGAGCAAGGACACAGTCTTTGGTGCTGCCAGGACTGACGGAGTCCCTGACCTGGACTTCAGCACACAGGGGGATCCGCTGGGCTCACATCATCCTCCCAATGATGTGCACTTGCCAAAACCCAAACTTTTTCTTGACCAAAGGAATTGAGTTGGCCAACCAGATCCAGGTTGGTGCTCCCCCCTTCTCCCCTTCACCAGGACACGATTCAGATCCCAATGTAAACACCACAAGAACCGACCATGGAATCAGAGCACGGTGCTCTTGTCTGTCACATCAGCCCTGGAGATGACATTCTTGATCATTCCCCTTTCAGCGATTGTGGTCATTCGGAAGGTGCTTCTCAACAGCTCATTGCTTCCTACCCAGTGCTGAAATGTGTCAAGACAGGCATCACCAGTAGTAACTTTCTTGTTTTGAAACATTTAAAAACAAAAGGTTTCCAGTGTAAAAGCCAGTCCTCATGCATCCCCTCTTGGGGATGTGTGCATTTATATACACACAACTATAAAACATTCCTACAAAAATGAGAGAGCCTCATGAAATCAGCATCCTGCTAGGTCGCCACAGCAGTGAAAACCCACCAGAAAAGACAGAAATAGAGCTTGAAACACTGAATAAGATTTCCTAATGACCCCTCTCCCAGCCCCACAGTCACCCCCTCCTTAGTGCCCCCAAGAGGAACCCTGGCCAGCTCAGCCCTTCCCTCTGGATGCCAAAACCCAGGACTCTGACTTGCAGGTCAAAGAATCAGCCTCCAAGAATTCCATGCTCGCGGCAATAGCTGTTCTCCTGGGAGCACTTGCCAGTAGCTGCTAATGGCCAAGGGACTGATGGGGAAACTGAGTTCATCCCTTGCCCACTCCAAGGTCTGTATCCCCAGCAATCCCAACTTTCCTGGGTGTTATCCGGAAATATTTGGGAAGCAGAACAGGGACTCTGAAATACATACTTGGGCAGTAAGTGCTCACAGGAAGGTAAGACCTGGCCAAGCTGTCCATAGCGTCCCCCCCACCGATGACCACCCCCACCCACAGATGACCGCTGCAGGAAGAAGGCAGGAAACGCCTGAGCCACAAGGCAGTGGTCCTCACTGCAGGGAGGGCCTCCTGCTGACCCGGGCCAGGAACCCCAGAGTCCTCTGATGGCTGTGCAGGACCCCGAGGCTGGGCTTCCATTCACTGGTTATCATTTGTTTCTGGTCCTGCTGGGGGTGGGGGAGGAGTCATAGAATGGTCCACCCTTTCCTAGGCCAACGATTTTCAACCCTTTTCATCTCATGGCACACATAAACTAACACTAAAATTCTGCGGCACAACAACAAAAATTTTGTCGATCTGACAAAAAAAAAAAAAAAAAAAAAAAAAGAGGTATAATTTTGATTCATTCACACCAGACGGCTATCGTTGTGTTGGCTGTTGTCATTTGTAAATGTGACATCTAAGGGGAAAGAGGTGAGTGCCCCTGCCTAAATAGGTATTGCATGTTTTCAGAATTCTTGTGGTTGAAAATCACGGCGCTAGGCTCTGTACCTCAGAGTCGTTCAAATTGTCTGAGTTTGGGAAGTGGTCTGCTAAGATGTTACTGTGGTCATTTGGACAGTCCCCCTGCTGGGGGAAGAGGACGCTGTGGTGAGACATCTCCAGGGGACTCTGGTAGTGCTCCTTACTGCTGTGTCCCCTGTCCTGATGGGGAGGAGGTCCTGACAGCAGGAGCAGGGGTGTCCAGGGCCACTGGGACACTAGGTCAGGTCCCTGCTGACCAGGAAAGCAGGGGTCCACCAGGACCCAAGTGGGGATCACAAAGAAGAAGGTGTGGCAGCCCAAGATGTTCAGCAGCTAGGAATGGCAGATCCACAACTCTCTCAGAACCTTTATGGAGAAAATATTCTGCAGCAGGAAGCGCAGTGTGGTTGAGAAAGCACCGATAAGCCCCAGCTTGTCACACTACAGCTTGGAGACAGCGGCCAGCAGGCAGCCGCTGATGATGCTGATGAGGGACCTGGTCCTCTGCTTCTCCTTCATGAGGATCAGAAGGGAGGACCACCCCGATGGGCATGGTGTCCTTGACAGTGTGCGCATAGGACACTGGCAGACGCTGACATGCATCTAATAAGTACTTTCCAAAGGCGACCCGCAGCGAGGACCACAGGTAGAGGCACTGCGTCACAGCGGCGGGCTGGCAATGGTTCTGGCAACGGTGCGACTGGCGACTGGCGGGTGCCCAGGCGCGAGAGGCGGCGCCTGGGGAGAGGGGAGGAGGGGGGGAGGCGCGGGGCACGCGCCGGGCGCGCAGCAGCGGTGGGAGTCCGCACACAGCGCCAGGATGCGGGGAAGAGTCCCTGGGAGCAGAGAAGGCGCCGAGGATCACCTTGCTGACAACATCGCCGCTGGCGCTGGGCGCTTACTAGCGCAGGCACAGCACTGCCACCTGGCGTTCGCTCCTGGAACCACAACTTCCACCCGCTGCACCCGAGCACCAGCCCTGGTCCGGCCATCCTGCCTCCACAGCGACCCCTTCCAGCCAGTTGGACCAATGATCTTTATTTTTTATTTTTCCACCCTGAGCTGAACTGTGTTGCACCACAGCTTGAGAGCGTCACCGTGGCGTCTTACTCCTTTTCTGTGATTCAGGATTTCTAGAAAGCCTGGAGGATTTCACAGTGGATTTCTAGAAAGCCTGGAGCCATGGCATCGTTTCAACAAGAGTGCATAGTCCTTGATGTCTCCCTGACTCTCCCTCTGTCAGTTATAAGTTCAGAAACCCACGTTTATGAGCATGTTTATGCTTACGGAACCTAGCAATGCATGGGTAGCTGGGACTCAGGAATGATTCGTCATCAGTTTAAAAATCCTTGTGGATTGTTTGCATCTCTGTATGCTTTATTAAGTAGGTTCTTTCAAATCAGCTTTTTCCAGGTGGCAGAAGAATATAACTGCAGAGAGCTCCCATGCTGAGTCTAGCTCTTTGTGTTTCAAATTTTTAAAATCTCAGTCTCTAAGTTAATAACACCATTTGGACAACGTACTCTCCCTTCTGCCAATCACTGAGTGAGATGGAAGCATCTCTGTTGTGGACAGAAAACAAATGAAAGGTGTATCGCCCCCGAAAGAAAGGCAGTACTAGGCCTCCTTTCTCTTAATCACATCCATCTCTGCAAAATGCGTTTGAGAAGAGAAAAGGTGAAGCTTTTATTTAAAAAAAAATCTACTCCATGCCAAGCACTTTACTAGGTACTTTATG